AGGCATCACCTTTCAAACAAGCAATAAGATAATTTAATTTTTGGATATCTGGGATGTTTTGGAGGTGTATTGCAGCATCAAAGCTACTCCAAAATCCTCTCCATAACTTTGGGTTACCGTCAAATATTGGTAACGGTAACTGGGGCAAATTCACTGTTGTGTGATTTGCTGATGGTATCGTTTCGTTCTATCGAGTCAGTACTCCTTTTTCAGTGCTTTTTTTTTCGTTGGAGTATTAACTCTGAATCATTTTCATACATTTTAAGAGTGATTATTACATCTTTATCACTAATTAATCTTAAAATACCTGTTTCATCGTCCACCATTTGTGCGTATTTTTCTTCTTCCTCTCTCCTTTTTTGCAATGAGGAAATTTGTTGAATATACTGCTTCCACTCTTAATTGGTCGTTTCGAGAGATTCCAGATATGATTCGAGGCGCATCATTTTCTCGTTGATAATTCGTTTTCTTGTTTCGTGTTGCTCTTGAATTTCTTCTGGAGTCATCATTCGATCCATTTTCTCTAAATCCATTTTTTTGATTTCTTTCAGAAGGCTTAATATCTTTTCTTTCACCGGTTGAACAGCTTTAAATATTATAGCTGACATTCCCGGCTCGTGGTACCAAATATGTTGTGACTTTTTCGTTTAGACTGAACGGGGTTTGGAAGGCTGTCACACCACAGCAATATAATAATAATTTATTTTTATTGAAAATGGGAACAATAACTTAGGCAAAAAGTAAATTAAAAAACTGCAAAGTTTATACTGCAAAGAAAAGAAGAAAAAAAAACCACTCCTACACAAGGTTCTCAAAGGAAAAAAAGTGACCTTTTGATTTTTATAAGCAATGATTCATAGTTTCGAGAAAATTCTCGACATTCTCGACATTGTTGTGACCTTATTTGTTGTGACCTTTTTATTTTTATAAGCAATGATTCATAGTTTCGAGAAAATTCTCGACAGTAATTTCCTCTTCATTTCTTCTTTAAATTGTTAATTTTTGTTATAGTATTTTTTTCTATTATTAATTACTATTATTGTTATTTTAACTGTTGTTATTAATACAAGCACATGGCATTTGTTGTCCTGCTTGGGTGGTTTTCAATAAATAAACTTACTGAATTTCGCACAGCTTAGATTAGATGATATCTTAGAAATCAAATCCTGCTTCTCTTAATGAATCAAAATGTGAATTTCAGCATATAATTCAATATAAATATAATTGATAATATGATCTGAATTTAAAAGGATAAAGATTTTTACAAGTTTTCAATTAATTTAATTGTTGTAAAAAATTTAAAAAATCTATAGTTTCTAGTTGTATTGCATTTTGAAAGAGAACGGCCAAGGACTTATTTCTAAAAACTCTGAACAAGTGATTTAAAATTTTGCAATATTTGCTTGCTAAGGTTCTGCCGTGGAAATTGAAATATCATCGATTATTAAACCAAAGCTGAAAATATAATTGGAATTTTCTATTTTAATACTGTTAATAAGAAAAGATGAAAGCAGAAACTTTAAGTTAACATGCAAAATTTTTAGTAGATAATTAATTTAATTCGTTTGTCATTTATTCAGAGTGGCCAGTAAAGCGAATCCAAACATTACGAAAGAATAGGATTAATTTCAATATTGCCATTAAAACACGTAATGAATAATAAAATGGCGAACACCGCTCCCGCTTTATTAGCCCTTTTATTAATTTAGAGTCAATAAATGGTCGATAAATTAAAATTATGCCCCGATCTATCTATTGTATTACACTAATCATAATACTTTATGTTCCATGTTCCATGAAGGAAATTTCATGTGTTATAAAAAATTGGCTGTCTGCAGGAAAATTCCTCGATTATTTTTCGCGAGCAAATGTTCGAAAATATTTTGTTTTCCAAAAATATCATTATATCTACTAAAAAATTTTGCAAAATCTTCAATCTAAATCCAATTTATTTTCGTTTTGCTAGCAAACTATTTTCATTTTATCATATCCTTTAATCATTTTTCTAGCATTTAATTGTTTTTTTTAGTCGAAATATTTTTTCGAAGTATTTGTACCTTATATTGTAATGAGAGCCATTCATCTATATTAGAAAATATTTATATCGATTTTTTTTATCAAATTTATATGTAAAAATCTTTCAAGAAAACTAAAAATCTTTTTTTTTAGCATATTAACTTTTCTTTAGATGGTATCTTATTTGACCGGTATTGGATATATTTTTTTATACACATTGCTTGTTTTAATCGAATTGAAATTTTATATAACCTTTGGCATTTCTAAAATGGAATTTTCAAAATCGATGCTGCAAAGGAGTCGTGAAGTAAGAATTTTTGTTTCCAGAAAATCCGTAAGAATTAAAAGGAAAAAATATATTTAATTATTGAAATTATTTTAATGAAATTATTTTTATTTATTATTAAATTATTTTTTATTAAAGTTATTATTAAAATTATTATTTGCAATAATATTTCGTCACATTGAATTGAATAAATTACATTTTTCAAAATTAAAGAAAGCTAAAAAATGCAAAAAAATGAACTAAAAATTATCATAATAAACAATTAATTGTAGCGGCGAATAAAATTCGTTCCATCGATTATGGCTTGGAACAATTTTTTTTCCGATAATCTATCAAATTTCCTCGTAAAAGCTATGGAAAATTGTAAATATAAATGCATAGTTATAACAAATCAAAGGTAATTCTTTTTTTTTTTATTTTTAATTCTATGATTTTCTACGAAAATTTTTTCGCAAAGACTTGCTTTTCACCGAAAAATATTCTAATAAACGCAAAGAAAAATGTCTATCTCATAGAAAAAACAAAATTCAGTAGATATCTATCGGCTGGTGCAATTGTTTTCCATAATCGCAATATAAATTTCACTACGTTACCATTGAACAGGCATTCAAATCAACTTTACGTCTTTCTTAATGCCGAATCGCCAATATATACGCTGAAAATGCCCGATGAAATGAATGATAATTATTTTAATATCAGTATGACTTACAGGTCAGTTTATCTATTTTTTAAATATATTTTTTCAAATTTCCCAAACTTTTCGTTAGATTGCCACTTCATCTAATGTTATTCTAATCCATTTGAATAGCTCAAGCTAATTCTGCTTAAAACTTAAGGAGCTTTTCAAAAGAAAGAAAGGCTAGCAATGGGACTTTTTAAAAAAAACGTAAATATTAGCCTTTGCCACTTGCGGTTTGGCCAGCACCAGGTTTTCGCTAAGCAGAGAAGAATCAGAAGCAAAGTCCAAGAGCTGCCCCGATTTTATGATAGGCTGCCAAGAAGCAAAGATTTGATATGGTTTCTAAGCGACCCTTTTTATTAATCTTCTTTTTCTCATGCATAGAGAGATCAGTTTGATAATGCCAATTATCTAGACTAAGATAAGCAAAAGGAATCTTCTCAGAAGAGCTTTAATTTTAAGAACCTTGTTCGCCTACGATTTGTCTCTTCAAACAATTCCATCAGGATCTTTACTGTTTTTATGCATAATTTTCAACCATTATTTTTATGATCGTTTATTTCGAGGAAAGACAGCGATATACCTATTAGTTATGGCGTAATGAGCAGAATTAGCAACACGACGCCGCCAGATAAAATTTGGAGCTGGGATCAAGTAATGTTTTCCAAGCTAGAATGTAGTGAGGATGTCTAAAGACGGAGAGAATAAATTATAACTTATTTGTCGATAAAAATTGAATGTTTAAGGCTGAATTCACAAGTGGATAATACATAACTTTTTATTAAAAATGTATTGTTTAAAGGCAAGGTAACTAGCAATTGGGATGAGGCAGAAACAAGCCATTAAAAAATCCCACTGATCCACCTGTCGGTGAAAAATCTCATCGAACTAATAGCCAGTGGGTCAAGGTTAAGCAAAAAAATGAATGCTAGAGTGCTACTTCTTTGTAATTAAAGATATGGTATATAGGCTTTTCTAGGAATATAAATCCTTACCATGACAAAATAAGAAGATCCGTATTCTTTCTTTTTATTTCACTTATTTTCGAAATTTTGAAAAATTTTATCATTTCTAATATTTCTAATAATTTAGAAAAAAATCTTTTTGGTTATTTTCGCCTGTGCCTCAAAAAATATACCTTTTTATGGAAAATTTCAAAATTCAAAGTAAGCAAACGAATAAAACAGGATTGGTGTGTCTCTAAATCAATTTCCTCAAGTTTTAAACAATTTTTCACTATTTTTTTAGGTTATCAAAGTTGTCAATAATAAAACAAAATCTGTTCTTCAATTAGTTTCGCATTGTTCCTCAAATTCCGCGAGACATCTCTATACTGATACATTGAAAAATTTTATTAACGTTACTGTGTTCGGTCATTGTAATCAAAATCCATGCGATGAAGAATGTGAAGAAATGGCTTTAAGTAAATTTTCATTATTCGATTATTCAATTGATAAATTCAGGTTGAAAAGATTTTAAAGGTTCAATTTTGCTTGAAAACAAATCGCAAACTCAGGTATCTCAAATAATTCATTTTTGACAGAGTTTCGGAATTTTACTTTTGAAAACTCCAAAAACTCTATGGAACTCCTAAAATTGTAGATATTCCTAATTTTTAAAATTTTTCTATTTTAGAAGAGCATCGCTTCTACTTAGCGTTTGAAAATAGTGTATGTCGCGACTATGTGACTGAAAAAGCCTTTCACTCTATGAATAATTTATTAATTCCGATAGTGTTGAAAGGTTCATTGTGCAAAAATATTTTGCCTGAGGGTTCTTTCATTGCCATTGATCACTTCAATTCTCCAAAGGAATTAGCTCAGTACTTGAAATATCTTGAAAGTAATAAAACTGCTTATATGAGGTAATTGTTTTTTTCAGTTTTTAGGCTCAGATTTTTAGTAAATGAAACAAAATTATTTAATTTTGGACCGAATTGCCTCCAGAAAATTTTATTGTTTAAAATAATAAATGTAAAAACAGATAGAAATTTTATTTAATAGTAAATTTGCCTAAATAAAATCGCCATAATTTTTTATCATTGTTTATTCTCCTTAATGTTTCAATTAACTTCACTTAATATAGCGATCAAGGATGATGCAGTTTTATTATGCAGAAAATACCAGAAAAAGGAAAAATTTTCCTCAAAAAATTTTTTTATTATAATTGGCTAACAAACTGCTGAACATGAAGTTTCTCTCGAGCGTATTAATCATAGTTGTGCAAAAATATTCTGATAGTATTATATTGTTAAATGCTTCAAGGGTATGGATATTTTTATGAAATCCGCATGGTGAAGAAGATTATTTGTAGTTCTGGCCCGCTTTAGCAAAAAGAATTATCCCTAGAAGTTAGTAAAACCAGCTGTTGGAATTAGGTGAAGAAAAAGAATCGACTAATTTTTTTACTCCAGATACTTTACGTGGACTAAAAAATACATCAAAATATCAAGCGACTTGTTGCTCGGTGGCTTTTGTAAATTATGCAGTATATTGCATCAAGGCATCGATAAACGTCGCAGCATAAATGTACAGTCATGGTGGTTTGAAGAGGGAAAATGTGAACCGTTTTATGTCTATGAATATTTTAAAAATCATAACTTATCACTAAATAAGAAATAAGATTAAATAAGAACGGAGAAAAATATACCCAAAATTTTTGAGTCTCTCCAAGACAAAATGCATTATTGTAAATAATTTAATGATTTTTTGAAAATTAATAAAACTTTTTTCAAATTTTAATATATAATTAATGGAATTCGAATTCTATTTTTTTCACTTTTTTTAATGTAAAAAAATGTTTTAGGAATATTTTAAAAAATATATCTCCATTTTTTTCCTTTAATCGGATTGCTTTTGTTGATTAATATAAAAAATTGTATTGCCTCTTCAACGTGTATTATGTGATTTAATTTTGTATTGTTGAAGGTAATGTGAAAGAAAATTAAAGAAAATTTTGTATTGTTGAAGGTAATGTGAAAGAAAATTATTATTTCTATTAAAGAATTTTACACTGAGAAATTTAACTAATTTTAAAAAAAAGTAAAAAATAAGAAAAATAATTTAACAAAACATTTTATATATATTATAATTTTATATATATATTATATATACTATAAAATAATAATAATTAAATAATAAATAAAAAAGTGAAATAAAATAAAATAAAATAAAATAGAAAAAATTATTATAAACAAAAAATAAAATATTTTTGAAAATATGCAATTTTTTTCAATTTTAATTTAAAATAAAATTTTCGATTAATTTTTAAATTTTTCCGTTTAGTCGTTGGATAGAATAATTGGTAGAATAATTTATTTTCGAATCAGTTCGAATTGGATTTTAGATGATTGTATTCTGTGGGATGACTACGTACTGAAAGAGAGCATGACCGAGGACTGAGTTTCGTGATCTATTTGCAATAATATTTTGATGCATGATATATATAAAAATTCGGCTCTTTCGAACAACTACATGCTTTTTATTACAAATTTATTTTCTTCATTGTTTATGGCAATTTTCGTAGGACATAAGTAAGTAAGTGAATGTGGTCATTAGTGAAATTAGCGAATGCTAAGCTCGATCACATACATGCCTTTTAGTGCAGTGACGCATAGCATATTTGAACAGATGTATCTTAAATTTTAATTTAAATTCAAATCGAAGTTCCACATTTAAAATTTAAAAATCGAAGAATAGAGAAAAATTAAAAATGTCGTTAAAAATGCCATAAATCGATGCAGTGAAGATTTTAAAGTTTACAAAAAGATACTATTTATTTAAACAAATTCTTATATTTCTTATAATTCTATTCATAATATGTACTAATTTTCTGGAAAATTGATTGGTGATATTGCAGTAGTGGCAAAGCTTACTATAATCACAAAATTTCTATTAGATCCATAAATATAATCGATTCTCTTTCGACCTCACATTCAGATCAATTAATTATTATAATTATTTTGCTTGAAACCAAAGTAAGAAAAGTTATTCTTGGAAAAATAAAATAGTTGTTAAATATTGATAAAATATTTTTTTTTCGGAAAATTTCCATCAATTCCACAGAGTAAAAAAATAAAAAAATAATTAATTATGAACACATTATTCAAAATTATTTACATGTAAAGTCCATAGTATATATGAAAAATAATAGTAAGAAAAGTTGAAGTTAAAGAAGGAAAAAGGATAAATTTAAGTTCCAAAAAAAAAAATACATACCTATTGGCAAATTTGTAAATATTTATACAATGTGAGATTCTTTCAGTGCAGTGATTTTCTCTTTATTCTTTCATACAGAATTATTTAAAAAATATTTTTATTTCTAGCAAACCTTCTATTGTTCGAAAATTGGAAAATTATGATGGACTATAAATTTTCGCTCAAAAAATGTTATAATTTAATTCAAAAGCTCAGATATGCAAAATATTTGCTCTTATTAAATCAGTGGTTCACTTAATCATTAATCACTGTAAGAGAAGAGGGATTCGGATTCGCTTAACATAAATATAACCGAAGCATATAACCGATATAAGCAACAAGAATTAATTCGCTTGGGGCTAAAATTTTGTAAAGGACTATATAAGCTCTTTAAGCTTATGTGCATTACTGGTATTATTCATAAATTAGACTCTAAATAAGCAGCGATCTCTTCAGTTATCTTTTTCTTGAGGCTACTCATTGGCATATTAAGAATTCCATGATATGCAGAAGGGTAATGATTCCAATGCACTTTAACACCATACGATCTTAATTTTTTGATATACATTATTTCCTCATCCAGTAAAATATCATAACCAACGGTGACAACCAGAGTTTGACACATGCCCTCTAAATTTTTTCCCATAATTGGAGCGAAATCTGGATTGTAGCCATTTTCATCAAACAATTTACATATCTGAATGAAAAATGAATTAGAAAAAATATAACCAATTTTAAAAAGTTTGTGAATTAAAAATAGCGATTCTTGATTGAGAAACTACCAGATTTTAAATACTTTGGGCCCTTTCTTGTACCAATTGGCCGAGCTAGGAAGAAATTCCATCCCACAGTTAGGCTTCCTTTTCTATGGCGAAACTCCCATGGAATCACTAATAAAACAAATCTTAACTGTAACCTCAATCAGGTTACAGTTTGCACTAATTTGCTATATGGCTATAAGATATGACCAGTGAGAATGGAAGATTCATTATTCATGCCTAATGCCTAAGAGAGATTTGGAGCATATAGATGGCCCTGCGACATGTAAGCTTTAGTTAAGAGGAAAGAGGAAAAAGGAGTGGTTTTAACCTCGAGTAACCTCGAAATCTCCGATTGAGTGGCTTAGAAGTAATTCTTAATAATTCTTAATTAACCAAAAAAAAATTTCTTTATTACTCAAAAATTCTTATTCATAAAAATGAAAAAAATCACCTCTTTACATGAATCTTGATCCGATGAATTACTTGGCTCATATAATAAACTTGGATCAGTGAAACTTTTGAGATCACTATTTTCTATTCTTTCCCTGAAGAGAATTTGAAATTCTTTCGTTTATATTCGACAAAAAAGTGAAAATAAAAGTATTCTTAACATGAGAAATCATATTTCTATAATCATTAATAAATATTTAAACAATGAGGCAATAGCTGATTGATATACTACTATTTATTTATTATTTTGATTCGTTTTCTAGACTTTGGTAAGACTTATTAAAGGATAAACTCAGACCCTAAGGAGCCGATAGTAGTAGTTCGTCATAATATCCCTACATTAAATATCTGGAGAAGTCGTAATAGTCAGTGGAACGAGGCTAACAAGAAAATAATGAGAAATGAGAAATAATGAGAAATTCACAAAAAAAACATTTGAATTCTTATACTTTTAGAAAATGCCTGAATGCAATGTAAAAAAATCAAGTCAGGAAGAGCATTTTAAAAATAAAATGCTTTTTCTTTTGATAGTATATCATATCTTACCGTCGTACATGATCATTATTGAGCAAATGATTGACATTTTTTTTCGTTGCAGGTATGCCAAGATAAGATAAGAACCATCGAGCTATCATTCGAGGATTCAATAATGATGTACCATGCAACTTTTGGTGATAATGTTGATATGATGGCGATTTGAAATTAAATGCATGTAATACTGGATAGATCAACACTTGACACTGAAAAATATTTGTTCTCCCCATCGTAAAAGAAAATTTTATATGTTCCTCAGATGATACCTTTTTAGTTATAAACTATATTAACTCCAAAATATGTTCAATAATCAATAATAACAATAATAAATTTCATTTAAAAAAGAATAAACCTTTGGAAGAGACAGGTTTTTTCGAAGTTGACGTTGTATAATAACAGTTCCCAAGTTCCCTCCTGCACTATCTCCCATTAAGCAAATTTGTTCTGGATCAATATCGTATTTCTTATAATCACTAATTATCAATTGGCGGTAAACGGTTTCGCAGTCTGTTAAAGGTATTGGGAATGGATTTTCAGGAGCGAGACGGTATTTTATAGATATCACAGTAGTACTCATTTTTTTTGTCAATGGACAAAGAAAGCCATCATAGTACACTGAAATAAAATTCCAGCAACTTCTTTTGAATAAGAAAATTTTGCAAAAAGTGCTCATCTTCCTTGTAGTTGGACGTTTTATTAAAATGGAATATAGGTGGCGATTGAAAATCAGTCCAGTATTTCTATCATCAATTAATCCACCTTATTGCTAATGATTAATCAAAAGGTATGGAGAATAAATTAACGATGAAACAATCACACCTGGTTGCATAATGCACCAACCGCCACCATGAATATATATAATGCATTTGCGATTTTTCCGCATTTCTGGTTGATAAATTCTGACTGGCACTCCTCCAATTTTTTCGTCAGTTATTTTGAGTGATTTATATTTCTGAGTTCTAATTAGATATGGTATGTTGACAAGAAATCTCGTGAATTTAATTCGCATTCTAGGACCAAAAAATATTTCTACAAAATTTCCCTGAAATAGAAGATAATAATGGAGAAAATCATTAACAATGCATCTTTTTTCTTCCAATATCTTTCACCATTTTTGGTAAGATTGCTCCACTCATTGAACTTACAGGACCAGCGAAATTTGGTTGCTTAGCAATGGAATTATGGAAGAATCGCCAGCTCTACCTGGATACGCCTATTTTTGACAGAAATAGAATTCCAGTATCTCCGAAATAAAAACAACAACCAGCTAAGCCATTCTTCTACTCTCATATACATTTAAAGCTATTTTATTCTTTCTCTTTTGTTTTTGGAAACTATTAAAGCTATTTTAATCGTTTTTTCTTCTTTATTTATTAAATATGAGCGAAAGGGTGAAATAATATTACACAATATTCATAGCTTAATCGAAGCAGTAGTTCCATGCATTGTAATTTTCGTCGATCAGCAATATCATCCGGTAGCTTAATGTATAGCGTTGAAAATAAAGCGAGTAGGACAGAGGAGAAGAAGAAAAAAGATAAAATAGAGATGTTGAATGTGAACAGAAACCATTCGATACCGAATCGACTGCTCGAAAAAGCCTAAAATTATTATTTTTTTAACAGTTTTTATAATCAAAAATATAAGAATTGAAGATGTAGAAAAAGCCAATTTATTTCAGTAGTTTATAAAAAATTATCACAAACGAAGATCATTATCAATGTTTAGTTTTGTCCCTCGATTTAAATTACATTCATTATACTCGATTATTTCCTTTAAATCTAATAAATTAATCACATATTTTGATGATCAAAAAATTTTATTCCTAAAACAAATTCATTTATCATTAAAAATTCCAATATTCCAGTAAATAAGAAGTTTCCAATTGATTGCTTCCTTTAGTGGTCGTTTCTTAAGACTCTTTTCAGGATCGACGATTTTATGCATGGATTTCCCTTTCATAATGAAATATAAGATAGAAAAGAATGGTACCATTATTTTATTAGTCAATTTTTTAAGACGAAAGGATATCAAATTTTTGCTAGCGATTGGAAGAAATTTGTAATGGCGATAAGGAAATTTTAAGATTTTTGCATATTTAATTTAATTAAGATTTCTAATTCGAGATGAGCTGAATAATTGGTTCTTTCCTTTAGTAATTAGGCAAATAAAAAAATGATAATTGATTAAATAAATGATAATTCGAAAATTCCAAAAAATTAATTTGTTTCTTTTTTAATTTTTCTTGACAAGAGGATCATAATTCCTCACCTATAATTGTCGATTCACCTAAACAACGACCAAACAAAGCTTATTGCCAAACGCCTAAATTTATAGCATTGTACAAAAATAAAAACATTCGGTGGAGGAACGATGGATGCATGAAATGCAATTATCAAAACAAAATATTTAAAGCATCAAATTGTTCTATATCAATATTTTCTAGAAATTGCTTTGTTCATAGAGATACTGTGGAGAAATATAAGTTACATAATATCGCCAATAACATTGCTCTTTTTTCTTATAAATTTGTAGAGGAATGGCGCATAGGCCGTATCATTAGGGAATTAGAGGAGTGAATGAAGAAATTGAGCTAGGTGCAAGCGTTTTCTATTTCTCACTATATTGCCCACTAGTGAAAAATTTTTATGAGGAAGTATAGATGGATGGCAATCACCAGCCAGAATGAATGAAGAAAATGGCATCACTGCTTAATTTATTGTTCCATGGATTAGCTCTAGTTGGGCCCAAGTTAGTTTAGGTTAGGGCTGCTCGCCAGAGTCCGATGTAGATTGGCTCTATTCAATTCTTCTCAGCCTTAGTGAGTCTAAACAAATGAAGCTACTAAGATTGAGAAGGTTCAAAAGGCATTTTCAATGAATTTTCTGTTAATTTATGATAATTAATAAAGATAATTAATGGATAAAAATTCGAGATTGAATCCTTTTTTTCACCAAAGAGTTTTATCACCATAAATTTTTTTAATAGAACTATTTTTGCTTAGAAGCAAACGAATAAATTTGATATGTCCCACACAAGGTCCTTTCATATTTAGTGATTTTTTTTTATAACTGAATCAAAGAAAATTATCACTTTTCCATCATTTTTCTATCATTTGCTATCATTTTTCTTAATACGATGATCCTGTCACCACAACTTACCACCAAATCTCTTTTTTAATTCTAATAGATGTAAAACAAGTTTTTAAGCCGGAAATTCAATTATAATAATAAATGAACTGGTTTCTTGATTTCAATTTCGAGAATAAAACGTCGATCGGTGACTTTGACCGAAAAATCAAAAACGCGATTTTATTCGAAATTTAACACTCATCACCATCGTCTTATTAAAGTTTTATCAACGAATTTTAAATATATTTTAAATATATTTCAAAATAATTATTCTCGTGAAAAATTAATAAAATATGTAATTGAATTAAGAAGGAATGAAAAAAAAGGAAGAAAGTGAATTAAGAAGAAGGAATGCAATGAACAGATAGAAAAATTTTTTTGAAATTTTTTGGTAAAAATTGGTAGAAATGTAGAAAAATTTCCACAAAAATCTTTAACGTTATAATTTCATTATGATTTTATTTAGCAGAAATTACATAACTGAACAGCATCGTTTCTTGAATTATTCTTATACCGTCAGTTCTATTATTTTCAGCTAAAAGACGTTTTAAGCTCCTAAAATAAATTTACATAGATTTATTAAAGCTCTTTTAATTTTTTTAAAGAGCACTCACTATTTTGATTAGACTCATTCCGATCTAGTTAGAGCAACATGGTGATGAACGTAAAAATGAGATACCAGCATCGCTAGCACCACATTTTCGAAAGGTTTATTAGTACCAAGATTGAAATCTTGGTACTAATAAACCTTATCTCATCCTATCTCTTCGATATGAGAACAATAACCTGTTGAAATATTTAGCTGTTTTAGTGAAAGCAAGGATTTTGCGATATACACAGTGCCGCTTATCTGAACCCTTCAAATTTGTTTTTATAAAATTGCCTTCAGCTTCTTTTTTACCTTAACTTTTACCCAAGCAAACCAGACAAGCTTTGCTTTTTTGCTTTGCGAGTTTTCTGCATTGACAAAACACCTTTGTTGCTTATAAAAGTACAAAAATATAATGTAAAATATGTAAAAAAAATATAAAAAATACAATAATATAATCAATGTGAAAGAGAGAAAGCTTCTTGTTACTAATTTGTTTATGCAATTATCTGGTTCTGCGAAAATTAAAATGGTGCTCAAGAGAAAAAAGTAGTACTAAGCATCCAAGTGGTTTGAAAAAAAGTTTTTTGGAAAAATAGCCAAAAATTTGTACCAATTGAACGTCATCAGCAGCAGGATGGTCCAATGGTATCTTCCAACAAACCTACGACTTTTCAAATATTCAAATATTCAAATATCCAAATGGTGGTGACGGCTCTTTTTTTTTAACCCCAAATATTCAAAAATTCCTGTTAACCAAAGATATAAGAGCAAGAGGATTATTGAAATAAGAAAAAAATGCATAATAAAATGCGATACCGCGAAATATTGAATATGCAGAAAATTGCGAAAAAATTTGCTGTGAATGAATAGCTTAACGATTTTTATGGTACTTAATTAATTCAAAAGGATATGTTTGAAATGAAAGAAGCAAAAAGTTCATCTAAAATATCATCGAAATACTTTTTTTTTCAAAATCTGAAGAAATAAAATCATAATTACTTGAGAATTGACTAAATTCCAAGGTCTAAACAAGAATTGCAAATTATTGCAACTTATGGCCCCCTTACGGTTGAAAGGATTATGAAACCAGCAACGATTTGTATGGCGATGGTATTCTCTTAACAACTGGTTTATAAATGCTCAAAAAAGGAGAATAATTTTAGAAAATGGGTTAAAGTAAATATTTTATATTTGCAATGACAATGGATTGGTACATTGATGGTTCAGTGGTGAGCTTGTTGCCACCCAGCATCGAAACTTGGGATTGACGCGTGATGACGTTCTGCTTTTTGTCTTGCGGGTAGTCTCGCCTAACGGAGAAAAACAAAGGAGAATAGAATGGCTCAGATCTTCTTCGGCGGTACTCAAATTTTATTCCCTCTTAGGAGTCTAAAAATCCGGTTGATGCTGGCGATTACTTGTAATTCTATCATCAAGGGATTCCCTGCCATATTTATCTAGTGGGACAAATCAGCGGAGTGACTGTTACCAAGTAATGGAGACTCTTTAAAAAAAACCAGATTGCATGAACCCAGCCAAATACCAAGGCGAAAGATAGGAGAATGGCATGTTACATTGACTAAGGTCAATTCACAAGTGAGATATTATTGACCGTTGACGAAACTAAGCCTATCACTAGAAGTAAAGTCTGGTTATTGATTAGCTATTATCAAACAACTATCATCATGATGGTTAATGCAAACATCCAAAGTAGAAATGGCAAGTTTTGTAGGAAATGAAATGGAGAAGCGACTCCATTTATTTTATTCATATTGCTGTGGTACTCAATGAGCCTTTCAGTGAAATAATGGTTTTAACATACAAAATAATGAGTCTAAAATGGCTCTTCAGCCAAATGCATTTTGAAAAATATTACGAAATAAATTTTTAATAATTTTTATCTTTTTACGAGATAAATTCTAAATAACCATTCTTTTTTCGAATACAAATAAAAAATTCCTCATATTTCTTTTATGATAAACTTGCTAATCAAAAAAAAAAAAATTTATGATTCTACCAAACCAGAATACTTAGAATTTTTTAATTTCTAAAACATTTTTCGAATCAAAATCGATCAAAAAAAATAAAAAATTTTCCTCATTAATTTATTTTAAATTCACTAATTAAATATATTTAAATGCATAAATATTTGAAAAAAAAACCTGTAATTTCACACGATAGCCAGGCGGCGCCAAAATTGCAAGCAATCCATCGATAATAATTTCCTCAGCCAATGCCAATGAGAACATTCTCTACTTGCTCGACTCAATTTTCTAAAATTTTAATTATTATAAAAAGATGAAAACTAAAAACTAGAAAAAAAATAATTGAAGGCGGATTTATTTTGAGGAACCACTTGTTTCACACAATCACTGTTGCACGACAATTCACTACAATAGTGGAAAATTCTTCTCTCTTTAATCCTTTTCTTACTTCCTGGATTAGAATTTTCTGGAAATATTTAGAGAACTATGCGAGAAATCACTAATACTTTGCAGCACTAGCAAATCAGACGAATAATATAAACGATTAAAAATTCCATTGACCGAAAAATTACGGCAGGCGCAGGTGTTATCGGTTCCTTCTTCAATATTCGTTGGGGTACGTGTGAAACATGAATATGCATTCTTATGTAAATAATGGAAAATAAGCGATTGGTATAAATTTACGAGAGGAAAATATTATTCTATCAAACCAATCAACTAAATAGCCCAGATAATGACGATATTTTAAAAAGAATGCTTGCTTCTAGTAAAATATGGCAATTCCATTAACATTAAATTAAAATTAATAAACTATTTTAAACAAATCGGAGTTGTAGTTCGAAGAGGTAAATTATGGCAAGACTAGCAAA